TTACTCTTCACTGTGAGAACCACGTGAGCTAATAACCCATGTAAACGCTGAAACTAGGGCTGATACATGGAAAACATTTCCTTTAGTCAAGTATCCATACAACCTCAGGTGAAATACCAACACAAATCACTCTTTAGTATGACCTGAGGCCTTTGTGGACCTAAAATTGTGTGATACTGAGATAAGTGAGGCTGGAATTCTTTCAGCTCCACCTAAATGCCCCTGGTAGGGGGACTGACGAAGCACAGCCAGCGTTTGCGCGCATGGACGGAGCCTTCCCACACAGCATCGCACGAAGTAGGGGTATCATTCCCGTATCCCAGAAAAGCAAAGGGAGACACAAAGCTACCAAGTGCACCGCCTACATAGCCAGAGAGTAACAGAGCCGAGGCGCAAACGGCCCCCTGTGCAAAGCCCACCCTCTCTGCCGCTACCCTGCCTAAGCTCTGCTGCCCTGACCGCAAAGTGGACACGTTTCCGAGAGGACGCTGCTGTCAGTCTGCAGAGCCCAGTGATTTAACGGGAGGAGGGAGATTCGCACAGCTCTTGAGGCAGGGGCACTCATGGGAGAGGGAAGTGATTTGCACAAATACTTGAGCCACAAGCATTATCCCCCCGGGAGCCCTCTGCCCCGGCTAGAGCTGGAGCTCACCCGCAGCGGACAGGGCACGGCAGCCTTGGGGACAGCGAATCTGCACGGGCCCTTGGGGCTCAGTCCTAATCTTCTCGCTGTGGGGGTGATAGGCTGAGGACCAGTGAGAGCAGAGGTCAGATCCCCAAGGGGCGCCCTTCCAGCTGGTGCGGGAGGAGGGAAGAAAAGCCAAGTCCACGAGCTGGGGGCGCAGAGAGGTTCGTGGGTGGAGAGGGCAGGCTGCGACGGGGGTGGCAAGGGTGTGGGGAGGATGCAGACCGGAAGCTCCGGCAGCACCCGGGGCCCTCCCTCCAGCACCCACAGGAGAGAGAGGAGAGAGAGAACATTCCGTGTGGCTCCCAAGCAGGGGGAAAGGGGAGCTGAGGGCAGGGGAATGCTTCCTGCTCTCTTTCCAACGCACTGTATTTACACTACCCAATGTTTCAGCCAATCTGTAGAAAATAAGTCCTTGTCACAGGGGGTGGAATTCAAGGAAAAGCAAGCCAGCAAGTTGCCCCCTTGCCTACCAGATGGAGTCCCAACCCCCTAGTTCAGCCCTCAAGGCCTTCCACAACCACATTCCTGTCCAATCATCACCACTTGATAACCTGGCGCAGGTCAAGATGGTTTCCCTAAACAAGCCATGTGCTCATCCACTGCTGAGGTTTTGCTGAGGCTCCTTTTCACATCTCTGCTTTCTAGAGAACTCAAGAGCTCACCCCATGCCTCTGAGATGGACCACCAGCACTCAGCACCCACCTGCAGCCCAGCCCTTGCTGCGCTGATTCATGAAGACTGGCTCATCATTTACCATCTGCTTCTCCAGGAATGAGTGTTTTAAGGGAGCAGGAACTAGGTCTTCTCAACATGGGGTGCCTCAGCCTCCAGCTGGGCATAAAGTAGGTGCTCAGTGAACATGGGAGGAAAAGGGGGAAGACAGGGAAATGCTGCAGACTGCCTGACTCCCCCCACCAGCAGTGCACCGAAATCCATATGTTCAGGCCCTGATCTCCAATGTGACAGTATTTGGAGGTGGGGATTTGGGGAGGTGATTAGGTTTAGATGAGGTCATGAGGGTGGAGCCCCAGGATGCAATCGATGCCCTTAAAGGGGGATGAAGAGACCAGAGCTCTCTCTCCACCATCTGAGGACACAGCAAGAGGGTGGCCATCTGCAAACCAGAAAGCAGGTCCTCACCAGACATCCAATCTGCTGGGTGCCTGATGTTAGACATCCCACCCCTCAGAACCGTGAGAAATACATGTTTGTTTTCAAGTCACACAGTGTATGGCATTTTGTTACAGAAGCCTGCGCTGACAGAGATGGGAAGAAAATGCCTTCCAGTGTATGGGGTTGCCGTGAAAACCTGCCAGGAGATGGGGTGGGGGCTGGGTAGAGGGGGATTCTGTGTAAGCGTGTGGAAGTATATGATTCCAAGATCCTCTCATCAGATGATTACCTGGAACCCATTAAATACCAGGCTGGTTTCAGAGACAGCTGTCTCTAGACCCACAGGCCGTTTTTACTCCACACAACCTGTGTCGGGATCCTTAACCATACAGCCTCAGAAATTCCTGCTCTCAGCAACTTGAAATGAATCCAAGAGCGGAACAGGCAACCGTTGGCAGCTTCGGAGACCAAGCTCTGAATCAAGACATGGCATTAAATAAGCGTATCCAGAAAAAAAATATTATATAACACATGGAAATCAGTCCAAGACACAGGCTATGGTTTCCTTTCCATGGGATCCTAAGTATAGTACAAGCCTGGGAACTAGTACATTTGTCCATTGCAGGCATTGAAATTTTAGCTAAAAGGTAAACCAATATTTGTAAGGCACTCCAGTTGTCACTTTAAAGAAACAACTCCTAGTAACATGATGTTCATCTCCAGTCTCACTCCATCCTTCTTGTTCAAGGGTTTGGCCTATCTTTACACAACAAAAATCTTAAATACTGAAGTGATTTACATGCTGGTGAGTAAGCTTGATAAACCGATCCGAGTCCTAAGGGAGCCAGAATCTTCCCCCAGGGCCTCCCTGACAGCCTCACACACCTGGTTTGGTGGGAGGAAATGGGTGGATTTTCCACACATCAGAGGATCTTACAGAGTTCCTGAATTAGAAGGAAATCTAGAAAGAAAAGCATCCCGATATTTCATGTTTAAGTCGGAGGAGTCAGAGATGGACAGATGCTTAATGAATGTGTGATGACAAGGAGGGCCTTCCTTGGGTACCCGTGAACCGGGAACGGGGTCACGGCCCTCCAAGAGCTCCATCCTCAAGCTGGCTGGGACTCTGAGAACTGTCCCTGTCCTAGGAGCTCCTCTTAAAAGGAGAATCGGCAAATCCCATTTGGCCAAATGCAGCATGGGATGATTTACCTTCAGGCAGCCCCGGAAACAGGGTAACAGTTTCTCAAGGGTGTAAGCAAAGCCTGGCCCGCCACAGACATGTTCTGAATGGGAAGAGGAGCCCTGCTGGCTCTATTAGCTCTCATGTGGTCTCACTAGAGAGTCTGCATTGATGGGACATGTTCCTGCGAATGTGGGTAAGAGAGAACTTGCAGAGCCCTTTGGACCAGTTCCCTAAGGAGAGAAGAAACCTGAAATGCCAACTTGCAGCTGACAAGGAGCAGACACTTCTTCAACAGGGCAGAGCTGTCCTTCACCGGCGGGACGCAGGCAGGCTATGCCGAGCCACCGCCCGGCCCCTCACTCTGCGGGACGCTCGTCTCCTCGGCACACTATGGGAACTTCTTGACAGTCACGTCCAGCCTTCTGAGTGTCCATGAGTTCCCAGGAGGAGCTTTGCCTCAGGTGAGCCAAACCAGGATTTCCCCCAGACTACGCCCAATGCTCTTTACTTAAGTCTCAGCCTACACTGTGCTATTTTTGCCACTTCTCGTGAGTCTTAGACTACTTCAAAATTAAAAGTTTGTACATAGATGAACTACGGTATCCCTATCTTTTCAAATATGGATGCCACATGTCATGGAAGGGAAGGGCTTGCCCACTGTGCCCCAACACCTTGCACCAGTGAGGGTAAGCTCGACTGTGCCATGGAAAAACAACCCCCAATCTCAGCGGCGTACAACCATACATATACATCATCCCTCCTTGTAAGTGGCCAGCACGGGTGACCTGGCAGCTCTGCTCTGAGTCGGGGTCATCCTCGCTCCAGAGGGTTCATCCCGCCAAACAATGCATGAAAGGAGGAGGATTTAAAATTAAAATCATTGAAAAACAGGTGAGGCCAAAGGACCACTAGTGCCTCCAGGAGAGGCAGAGATCACGCCCCAGACAATAGTGCAGACTCACAGGCGGACCCCTCGGGCGTCTGTATTCCCCATCGCCCCTTGCTCACCACCACCCCACAAAGGGCGCCTGCTGGCTGGGCCTGCCGAGCCTGCCTCCGCACAGAGCTCTGGCTTTGACACCTCCATTCGATTTGGCCTTTCAGAATCACTTGGCCTTTCACAGTCCAGAGAGTTGGGCCTAGTTTCATTTGACTCTGTATTTCCCACCAACTAGCGCGTGACCTGCTGCAAAGAGGACCTTGATAAATGTTCATTGAACAGAACTGAACTGGAAGGAAGCAAGGAAAATGATAGCACGGGATCCCATTTTGATTGAACATCTGAGCCCACCAGAGCACCCAATAAATCCTGATACTGACGGAATGGAAGCTTCCCTCGGAGTCCCCATGAGCCCTGACAGCACCTGGGTGGGAGTTGGCAGGTAGAGTCCCTCTGTGCGGACATGGCTCCCAGATATAGGGCTCAAGGAACAGACAAAGCCTTTGACTTACGCCAACAAGACCAGAACATGCCCCCCTGCCTCCCTGGGCAGAAGCACTGTGCCAGGACCCACAGCCTGGCTAGGAAAACGGGGTGGGGGTTTAGCCCCTGTTCACCTCTTGTCCAGGCCCCCATGTGCAAGCTCACCTGTGCAGGTGAGTCAGACGCCGGGGTCCCTCCCAGCGGATCCCTCGTCTCTGGTGGAAAGACGGAAGCACCAGAAGATGCCCTCAGATCACACTTCCACCCTTGGTAGAAAATCTTTTCTGCTCATTTTCCACACCCACCAGATTACAGAAGTGAGACAGAGCAAAACAAATACAACTTCGTGCACACACACACATACGCACACTGCCACCGCAGGGTGTGCACTGTATGTAAGATGACAGTTCCACGGGAGTGATATCTGAATGGAGCTAGTCCAATTAAGTATTTTCCAGATGGAGCTAAAGGGGTATACATTCATTCTCCTCACTTTTTTCACCTTTTTACTGTCTTCTTGGTGTTTTAGGGCTGCTTAAAAATGATTTGATGAAACAAACAAAAAAAAAGAGACATGACAGGGTTGAGTATAATGAAATGAAGAGGATCGCAATTAAGGCTGACACTTATTCTTTAGTTAATTCAATTGTGCCTGATTATCTTGCTTTGCAATCCAGCCTTCTCCCAACCAACACCAGCTCCAGGAACACTCCTCGTAATTGCAGAACAGCCGAGAGGCGATATCTTACAGATAAGATGAGTAATCCTCAGCTCTCTAATTTTTCTGCCATGTCCCTGAATGCCTCCAAGCACATGGAAAAGAAGACTTCAGGATCCAGCTTGTTCTCTGCGATTTGTGAGAAATCTGTGGCTGCATTTTCCCTCATGCATCACCACAAATAACCAAGTGACCATCTTTGTCCATTTAGGAGGCGATGGCCTGATTTAGAGGGGTCACTCTGGCACCTGGACAGAGAAGAAATGAACCATCATAAACTCAATTAATTCCAAAATCTTCACAGGACAAAATACACTGAGATGCATACCAGCAAATTTTGTCTCTGGGGATGTGAATGGATTGCTGACTTCCCCAGCCATTTGGTCCAGGTTTGTACAAATTTTCCTCCAGCCTAGGCTGTTTTCTGTAATAAGAAATATTTTCAAACATTCAGAAGCTCCTCTAAACTTCAAAATTATACCCTCAAGTCAAGTTTGCAACAAAAGTGGGACTACTTTGGTTTACCTTCATTGTGTAATTTGGTTTGGGAAAATACAGGTTTCAACTAGAGCAAAGAAAGTTGTCCTCAGAACTCCAGATGTCTTTGGTGAAATGGTATTTTTCACCAAACATGTGTTTCCATAAGATATTTTCTAGTGGCTTGGAGACTCAGCCAGCAGAGCTCTGCATCTAAACACACCAATCTCAGAATGAGTTCTTAGGACCCTCACTTCTAGGCCTTAAGAATGGTCTGTTCCTTCAACCATTTTGGGCGCCAGTGGAAACTGCCCAATGAGCAAGGAAAGAGGCCTTCCTTTTCAAGACAGTGGTGATGAAACAGCAAAGGATGAGGACTCTCTGCCACGAGAACATGTGACGCCAAGAAAGAGAAGGAGAGAAAAAAGATACTAACCCATGAGATTTCAAATCAGATTGCAAAGAACAAAAAGCTGAGTTAAGATATTTTGAAGTAGTTCTAATATGAATGTACCCTTCTCTCTGAGGTCAACGAATCCAGAATATTCTGTCATTGGATAGAAAGGTGGCTCAAGATAGAGAGGAGTTATGGAAAAGTTAAGACATCAGCTTTTTTACACACCTGGCATGAGGCTGGATGATGCAGACGCCCTGTGACGGACACTCTGACGGGGAGGGTGAGGCCCCCCATGACAGACAGCCTGCATTCAGAACCCGGCCCTGCTGCTTAAAAACTGTGTGACACCGAGCGACTACTTAACCTCTTTGTGCCTCGGTTTCCTCATTTGTAAAACGGTGCTAAGGATGACGTCCTACTTACTCTTCACTGTGAGAACCACGTGAGCTAATAACCCATGTAAACGCTGAAACTAGGGCTGATACATGGAAAACATTTCCTTTAGTCAAGTATCCATACAACCTCAGGTGAAATACCAACACAAATCACTCTTTAGTATGACCTGAGGCCTTTGTGGACCTAAAATTGTGTGATACTGAGATAAGTGAGGCTGGAATTCTTTCAGCTCCACCTAAATGCCCCTGGTAGGGGGACTGACGAAGCACAGCCAGCGTTTGCGCGCATGGACGGAGCCTTCCCACACAGCATCGCACGAAGTAGGGGTATCATTCCCGTATCCCAGAAAAGCAAAGGGAGACACAAAGCTACCAAGTGCACCGCCTACATAGCCAGAGAGTAACAGAGCCGAGGCGCAAACGGCCCCCTGTGCAAAGCCCACCCTCTCTGCCGCTACCCTGCCTAAGCTCTGCTGCCCTGACCGCAAAGTGGACACGTTTCCGAGAGGACGCTGCTGTCAGTCTGCAGAGCCCAGTGATTTAACGGGAGGAGGGAGATTCGCACAGCTCTTGAGGCAGGGGCACTCATGGGAGAGGGAAGTGATTTGCACAAATACTTGAGCCACAAGCATTATCCCCCCGGGAGCCCTCTGCCCCGGCTAGAGCTGGAGCTCACCCGCAGCGGACAGGGCACGGCAGCCTTGGGGACAGCGAATCTGCACGGGCCCTTGGGGCTCAGTCCTAATCTTCTCGCTGTGGGGGTGATAGGCTGAGGACCAGTGAGAGCAGAGGTCAGATCCCCAAGGGGCGCCCTTCCAGCTGGTGCGGGAGGAGGGAAGAAAAGCCAAGTCCACGAGCTGGGGGCGCAGAGAGGTTCGTGGGTGGAGAGGGCAGGCTGCGACGGGGGTGGCAAGGGTGTGGGGAGGATGCAGACCGGAAGCTCCGGCAGCACCCGGGGCCCTCCCTCCAGCACCCACAGGAGAGAGAGGAGAGAGAGAACATTCCGTGTGGCTCCCAAGCAGGGGGAAAGGGGAGCTGAGGGCAGGGGAATGCTTCCTGCTCTCTTTCCAACGCACTGTATTTACACTACCCAATGTTTCAGCCAATCTGTAGAAAATAAGTCCTTGTCACAGGGGGTGGAATTCGGCTCTCCTCCTCAGCAGAAGGGCCTCCTCTGCAGTTCCACGCGGCTTCCACAGAACACACAGGGCAGATTTCCACAGCTTCTCCTCCCCTCCGCATCCAGACTTGACATACTCCCTCACCGGCAAAGAAAATGATAAAAGCATGCTCTTTCATAGTGGGCACATTGTTACGTTGTTATTCTTATGGCAAATTAGCTTCTGATTATAGAGATTAGTCAAAACTGCGATGTTGTTTGTGAGGTGGGACTGACATTTTTTTTAACAAGGAGAAGAGCTGTTGTTTCAATGTTAGAAAATTACATAAAATGGCAATTGGGATGGAAATGAAGTTTCTGGAAGTTATTTAATGATCAGTTCTCTCAGAAGAGTTAGGCATTCCAGCCAGTCAGTTGTCTCTAGTCAAGTATTTCACCCTATAGTTGATAAAGTTTTTACTGCATATCAACCTCTTCCTTTTAAAAGTATCTCCAACTTAAAAAGATCCATTATTTTCATACTTGCATATGTGTGTTGGGATTTTTCCATTGTGTAAGTAATGCTTGTCTCTGTAGAAAGAATATTTGAGGATCCTGGCTTTGAGTTGAGAAGATGCTCACCCTTTCGTTGCAGCTTTGGGTGGGAGACAGCGGGAAGGTGCTATCTCCTCACCTGGCAGATGGAGAAACAGGAGCTCAGACAGCGAACAGCTCAGTGCAAGACCTCGCTGAGCAGCTGCGCTGGTGTCCAGAGCGATGGGGCAGAGTGCGCCTGGCTCCTCCAGCTGCAGCTGCACCAGCCCTCAAAGGCACGTGCAAGGCCCCTCCCCTGGAAAGCAGCATCCACACTGTCTCTCCCTGGATTAATCCTGTGGCTCCTGACTCGGGGTGATTTGGCCGCCAGAGGGACATGTGGCAATGTCTGCAAACAGTTTGGACTGTTATGTCTGAGGGGTAGGGGGAGATAGTGTTGGCCACAGGCCTCTAGTGGGTGGAGGCCTAGGAACCTGCTAAACACCCTACAGTACGCAGGACAGGCCCCCAACAAGGAATTATCTGGCCCCAAATGTCAGTAGTGCTGCAGTTGAGAAACCTGGTGTTGTTGATCACAAATCACAGGAGATTTTTAATAGCTGACCCCGGGAGTGCAGGGCCTGTGTCTGAATCCCCCCTTCCTGGGTGCCCAGTAGGGGGTGAAGTGCATAGAGACCTGCTTCCTTTCATCCTCAGGATGCCCCAGGTCCATGATGTCATTTTGGGGTCAAATTATACAAGAACAAGGCAAAAACTGCATAATTTATTATACTTACATGTCTAATTTAGGGCAAACAAAAGATTCCCCTCCCCAGAACATACACATATAAACGTTTAGGGCCAAAGGTATTATTGTCAGATGTCTTTCCACACGATTATCTTACCCACTGGCTTATATCCCAGCTGTCAGGTCAGGAGAAATTCGATAGAATATTTCACTTGTCTTCTTTTTAAATTTTCTCTTAGGTTTCACTAATGTGCTGATTGGTGCTCATGAAAACATTAGTCATCACTCCATGTGACAATATTTCATGATTATTAAGGAGCACGTTATAGTAAATAAGTTTTCCTTCTTTTATCATGCTGGAGTAAAATTAAAAAGAAAAACCTACTTATGTGCCCCAATCCTCAAAGAATTAAACATTTCAGCGTCTCTTTCAACAGGATGTTGGCAAAGTTTTCTGCCCAGGGTCAGATAGTAAATATTTCTGGCTTTGCCAGTCACATGGCCTCTGCTGCAGCCGCTCCAAGCGGCTGCGGGTGATATGGAAGTGAATGGGCCTGGCTGTGTGCCAATAAAACTTTATTTACAAGTACGGGCCGTGGGAGGGACTTGGCCCCAGGACCACAGTTTGCTGACTTGTGTCTTACAACATAGATTTCCTGAAAATAAAGCATTTAGGCGAAGAGAATAGGGGAAAGTTCAGAGCACAGCATTGTAAACTATGGGCATTCTCACCATCTTACAAAAAGCAGCCTCTGAAACTCACTGCCAATCCGAGGGGACGGAGCGGTATGCGGGAATGGGAGTTAGAGGGCTTACAGAAATCCCAGGGGGGACAGGGATTGCAGCCGCGCTGTTTAACTATCTGGTGGTGTTACTTTCATTTCTCTGCTAAATTCCCCTCTCAGTTTAAAACACTGCTTTCACTCAGAACTGCCCCCCACCTCACAAGCCAGCACACCAGGAGGAGGTCAGCTGGCCATGGGGACTGAGAGGTTTGGGTGACCCCCTGTGACGGGGCCCTGGGCAGTCTGCTACCTGTTTGCAGGTGGGGAGGCTGCTCTGATCTGGAGATACGCATCTGGGAATCATTAGCCCAGAGGTGGGAATGGAAGCATCAGGACACAGCTGAGAACAGAAATACACCCTCCAAAAGGCAGCAGAGCCCCGTGCTGTGCTAGCTGCTCCACAGTAACCTGTCGTTTCCTCTGGGCAGGCTGTGGGGCCCAGGCTCCTAACTCGCTCCACGAGGACACGACGGCCCTTCCCCCGTGCCTGGTCAGTAAGTCTATTGGTTTTCTTATGGGAACATATACAAACATCTCATTTACCCCTGTAACCATTGTTAAGAATTACCCCAACTCCCAATCTTTGGTGATTGAAGGACCCTCCTGGGTGTTAACTCCCATGGCCAGAACACGTTCTTAGGTGGAAAGACCCAGGAGGCCACCACTGTGCCCAGCAGGTGGCCTGTGAGGAAGAGCAGAGGATACTTCAGCGTCTCCACAGGCAGCAGCCTCACAGGTGGATCTGTGGGTCGCAGCTCACGGGGTCTGCCTGCCACGACACACTGAGCTCCTGGAAGACGGAGCCCACCACCGATTCATCTCCATATCCCCCAGCCCCTGGCAGATTGAGGGTGTCTAGAAAATGTGGTGGGTGCAAATACAAATGGCTCCATGGGAACAGGACCCAGGCAAGGTCTTCTGGGGAGAGGAGGTCAGGGTGGCCTTTGGAAAGGCAGCACAGGAGAGGATAGGGGTAAGGTGGGGAGCGGTCATCAAGGTCCTGCCTCCCACCCTTCCCTGTGGCCTCTGTGACTGTCCCCACCAACTCCTGCCTGGCCCTTGGCCAGCAAACCTCCCCAGCCTCTCCCATGCTGGCCTCAACAGGTCGCAACAGCTGCCGCGAGAACCGACTTATCCTGGCAGGCCAGCGATGAAGCGCAGGGCTGCCTACAAGTCTCAGGCAGTATGGAACAGAAAGGCAGGTTTATTTCAAGGCCAGGCTGGGAAAGGATCTGGGTTTTCAACACTGGGGTTGAAGTGCAGCAGACAGCCAGCCCGACAAGGAGGCGAGCGGCTCACACAGCCGGCATCATCAAGGAAAGGAGCAATCAGTCTCCTGTCCACAAGGGTCCTTGTTCATGATCCCTGTTGCTCCCTGTTCCCATTCAGCTGGGTCAACATGTGCCTGTAAATTCCTCCCAAAAGGGAAATCATAACAGCATCAGCAGCCCCAGAGATGACAAAGAGCTCAAGTAAGGAAAGGCAGCTGCCAAGTATTCAGCAGTGCTCACATTGCATCAGAAAAATATCAGATAAGAAAAATAAACCGAGTTGTGTGCATATTTCCTTAAATATGTATCCCATTTTGCGGCTCCCTCCAGTCTTTGGCGTAATGAACACATCCATTTGTCAGGGGTCACGGAGCGGCAGTCCTACAGAGCTGCCCTGGGTTGGTGAGCCACGTGGTCCAGCTCTCTCCCATCTCCAGAGCACAGAGTGCTGCCGAAGCTCGGAACACAGGGCCGCTAATGTGAATTCTCCTCCTGGCCTACTTACTAAACTGCGGCCAGCCCCTGCGCCTGGGCCTTGGTCTCTACTGCCCTGAGTTGAGTTGGCAATATGCATTTGCCATGACAAAAAAAAGACTTTGTCATCCTCAAGTGGCAGGTCCTGGAGTGACCTCCCCACAACAGATGGTCTGAGAGGTGGAGTGTGTCACAGCCAGTCACCTGCCCAGTTTGGTGACACCGCTCAACTCCACGGTTAAACAGCAATGGAATCAAAAGACAGGGAGGTTTGGGAAGCCACGAGGGAATGGATGGTGTGCAGAGGACGCTTGAGGCTGCAGAGCGGTGCTTTGCCCAACAACATGCAGCTGGCCAGGCACTGGGCCCCCGCCAACCTCCAGAGGCCTCCTGGCATGGCCATAAAAGCCACAGCCACAAACACACACACGGCACCGAAAGGACGTGGTGAGAAGCCAGTTTGCCTTTGCTTCTTGGACTCCCTGGGAGTCTCTGGGAAGGCATTTTCCTATGCCCTGAAACGAGAGGCCAGATTCCCCTACTGTTGGGCTAAGAACCCTAACCAGCCTCTGCTCAGGGCCGGGGCCTGGGCCTGAACCTGCCCTGTCCTCAGGTGCTCACCCGATGACATGAACCAAACTGATGTGCAGGGTGGCCTGCACATGCACACACGGCCGCTCTGCCAGCAAGAGTGTGTAGGCAAGAGCAGTGGGACCCAGGGGACAGGGCCTGACTCTAACCAAGCATATACACCAGGAACAACAGGCCTGGCCAGACAGCATCTGCTCCTCACGTCCTTCCTTGTCCGTGTAATGCGTGCTCCCTGCGAGACGAGAGCCACCGTGCTCAGAGAGTGATCTGCTGCAGCAGGCACCCGAAGTTTTAACGTGCCGTGCACCATCAGGAGTCAAAAATGATATCCCTGCTACTGAGGCCAACACGCACTCTTTCTGCTTAAAGAGGGACATTTCCCCGTCGGAATCCTGCTCCACAGACAAGAGGAGCCTTGTGGCCTGGCGCCACTGCAGAGCTGCAGAAACAGGGCCTGGGCCCAGCCCGCTCTGGCCTCCAGAGGTATTTATCTTCCATTTGTGGAGGTGAAATGTGTCCATGGAGCAGTGACTTTGAAATTCCTCCAGAGGAGGGACACGCGCTGTGAGAAACCAGTGACGCGGCCGCAGGCTCGGACCAACCCCGGGCGTTCCTTTCTCTCTTCACACCGGCATTCATGAAGTGGATGAATCTCTTCATCCCCTTGTTACTAACTTTACTATCTGGGCTCGTTTATTTCTAATTGTGTTTCTAAGCCTCTAAGAGGGAATTCTGTTTTCCTTTTAGACCTGACTACATCTAAATCCACTTAAGTTTCCGTCTGTGGCCTGTTTCTTCTTGAAGGCGCCCCCCGGCCCCCACCGCAGAGCTAGCACACTAGCTGAAGAGGACAGGCGGCCTTGGGAGACTCCTACTTTATCTCTCAGGCAGTTTGTGAGAATTTGTCTTTGTGGGTCTTTCTTTGTTCAGCTGGCTGCATTCTTATCCCATTGGTTGAGTATATAAAAGAATGTTTTCAGAATCTGTGCAGGATATTTTGGACCAAATAAGGAGACACATTCCGAGTAGTAGATATTTTGGAAGTAGCAACAGAGATAAAGGGCACCATTTATGAAGCACGTGCCTGTAATCCCACATGCAAGCCCACTTCATTCCATTCTCAAGACTCTGCCAGGTATGCATCATCACCCCACTTTGTAGA